GAAGGGAATGGTGGTGAGGAAGAGATAGAGAGGGAGAGGGGAGGAGAATTAGACAGACTGACTGACTGAGTGATTAACAGTGAGAAGAGGTCAGGGTGGAGGGGGGAGGGGGGCGAGTGTCTTTATCATATTGGTCTGTTGACAGAAAGCATAGCTGCGTCATGTGACTCCACTAATCAGGTCATAGGAGCAGCTGTGAGTCACAGACAGATCTTGCAGCATGTGAGTGCTCGTAACCACGACAACGACGCACCTGTGCGGCTGCAAAAGGGCAGACACAGGACAGCGAGTTACACAGAATCCACACCTCAAACAAATGAGAACCAGCGCAAAACTATAACAGCTATCTAAAAAATACGGCGTTTTTACGAGACCCAAGACTCTACCGAACGCATGGATGTGCGTTTTATGTCTGTCCGGTAATAAATACGGCTCCTATGGCCGTTGACAGAACGTGTACCTTCTGGATTTTTAGAGAAATATGTCGGCAGATTTGTATTGGAGCCTATAGGGCTTTTGGCAGAGGTTGTGTCACTCGAACACTCCTTAAGCAAAAACTAAAGAACTCTGGGATTCCATGAACGCATTAATCCAATCAGCACAACCATGCCCTCATTAATCTGAAGAAATGAAGCCTCTAGAGTGTATACTTTGGCTGTAAGGACAGAAGTTCCATATTTTTTTAACCAGATTCCTGCGATGCCCCACACTCTAGCCCTCGAGCTCTCCACTCTAGCAGACGCAATACACACTCATGTAAAAGTCAGAAACGGAGCGAACAACTAGTGAAACATAATCAGTGATTATGAAAAAAGTACAATAGATATCAAGAAGCAGTTTCTTTCATAAAATAGTTGAGACCTGTGTCAACATTTGAAAGTTTAAATGGTGTCTATAGCTGAAAGATTGGCGAAGCTGAAAAGTCTGAAAGTTGAAGAAGTTTAAGGAGGATTTGAAAACAATTTCCATTGGAAAACCATGTTAAAATATTTATGATTATTGATTTATATAAATTCAAGCATAAGTGGTAGAAAGCTTAAAAGTCATAGCCTTAAAGCCAGAAAGGAGCTGAACATTTTAATATTTGAACGGTTTAAATAGCTGAAAATGTGAAGGAGTTGAAAGGTCGCGCGGAAGAAATAGAATAATAACTAGAAAATGCATTTCCTGCTGAAAATGCGTTGGAATGCAAAAAGCTGAAAGCTGAAATGAACTTTTTAAAATAGCTGAAAATACAGAAAGTTGAAGGGAATTTGAATACATTTGCTGAAATTATAGATATTAGAAAAGCTGAAATGAATTTGAAATTGCTGAAAATACAGAAATGGGAGAAGCTGAAAGGAATTTCAATAGATTTGCTGAAAAAGCAGAAATGAAAACAGCTGAAATAAATTTGAAATATTGCAAAAAAATACAGAAATGAATATTGAAAAATTGCTGTTGATAGAGGCATAAGAATAGCTGAAATTATTTTAAAGAACTGCTGAAAATACAGGAAGTGGGGAAGCTGAATTTCAATAGATTTTCTAAAAACAGAAGTTGCAGGAGCTTAAATTTGTTTAAAATTGTTTGTAGTAATATTAGTAGTAGTATTAGTTATAATTGTGGTATTAGTAGTACTAGCAGTAATAGTAGGTTTAGTATCAATAGCAGTAGAAACAGCTGTAATACTATTAGCCATAGTCGTATTTGTAATAACATTAGTAGTAGTTGTAGTATTAATAGCAGTAGAAATACTAGTAGTATGGTAGTAGAAGTATCAGTTGTAGTACTAGAAGTACGAGTAATATTCGTAGTGGGAGACAGAATGTTTGTTATTCAAACTAAGAAGTTTTTAATTAATAGGCCTCATCACAAACATTACAGTAAAAATTCCCTCCATGTGGCTTTTATTTTGAAATTATTGGATTGGGTGGGTTGGGGGGGTGTAGATAGAGGGAGGGAGGGTGAGAGGGTGAGGAAGGGAGGGGTGGTGAGGAAGAGATAGAGGGAGAGAGAGAGGAGGAGAAATAGACAGACATACTGACTGACTGAGTGATAAACAGTGAGAAGAGGTCAGGGTGGAGGGGGGAGGGGGGGCGAGTGTCTTTATCATATTGGTCTGTTGACAGAAAGCATAGCTGCGTCATGTGACTCCACTAATCACGTCATTGGAGCAGCTGTGAGTCACACACAGAGATACTGCAGCGTGTTTACGAGTAACCACGGCAACGGCGCACCTATTGCATTGAGTGGGGTGGGGGGGTGTAGATAGAGGGAGGGAGGGTGAGAGGGTGAGGAAGGGAATGGTGGTGAGGAAGAGAGGGAGAGGGGAGGAGAATTAGACTGACTGACTGACTGAGAGTGATTAACAGTAAGTAGAGGTCAGGGGGGAGGGGGGAGGGGGGGCGAGTGTCTTTATCATATTGGTCTGTTGACAGAAAGCATAGCTGCGTCATGTGACTCCACTAATCAGGTCATAGGAGCGAGCAGCTGTGAGCCACAGACAGATCCTGCAGCATGTGAGTGCTCGTAACCACGACAACGACGCACCTGTGCGGCTGCAAAAGTGCAGACACAGGACAGCGAGTTACACAGAATCCACACCTCAAACAAATGAGAACCAGCGCAAAACTATAACAGCTATCTAAAAAATACGGCGTTTGTATGAGACCCAAGACTCTACCGAACGCGTGGATGTGTTTTTATGTCTGTCCGGTAATAAATACGGCTCCTATGGCCGTTTACAAAACGTGTACCTTGTGGATTTTTGTGAGAAATATGTCGGCAGATTTGTATTGGAGCCTATGGGGCTTTTGGCAGAGGTTGTGTCACTCAAACACTCCTTGCGCCAAAACTAAAAAACTCTGGGATTCCATGAACACATTAATCCAATCAGCACAACCATGCCCTCATTAATCTGAAGAAATGAAGCCTCTAGAGTGTATACTTTGGCTGCAAGGACAAAAGTTCCATATTTTTTTAACCAGATTCCTGCGATGCCCCACACTCTAGCCTCGAGCTCTCCACTCTAGCAGACGCAATACACACTCATGTAAAAGTCAGAAACGGAGCGAAAAACTAGTGAAACATAATCAGTGATTATGAAAAAAGTACTATAGATATCAAGAAGCAGTTTTTTTCATAAAATAGTTGAGACCTGTGTCAACATTTGAAAGTTTAAATGGTGTCTGTAGCTGAAAGATTGGGGAAGCTGAAAAGTCTGAAAGTTGAAGAAGTTTAAGGAGGATTTGAAAACAATTTCCATTGGAAAACCATGTTAAAATATTTATGATTATTGATTTATATAAATTCAAGCATAAGTGGTAGAAAGCTTAAAAGTCATAGCCTTAAAGCCAGAAAGGAGCTGAACATTTTAATATTTGAACGGTTTAAATAGCTGAAAATGTGAAGGAGTTGAAAGGTCGCGCGGAAGAAATAGAATAATAATAAGTCGGAAATAAAGATTCGAAGAACAATACTTGGAATGCATCGTTAATGCATTCCAACAATAAGTCGGAAATAAAGATTCGAAGAACAATACTTGGAATGCATCGTTAATGCATTCCAACAATAATAAATCACAGGACAGCATAGGATGAGTTGAACTGCTAAGAAGGGAGTTGTTTTTTTACAGTTTGTTCAAACTGAGCGATTCATTTTTTAAAGTACACACAAATAGGTTGGTCTGGTTTTGTAGTAATTTAAAATGGAATGAGAAAAATAAAATAGGGAGACGGAGAGAGGGGGGAGGGGGGAATAAAGGCAACCTGAATCAGCAGAATGTTGATTCTGCGGATTCAGGTTGGGGAAGGTGCACAGCAAAGACGAAACAAGAGTTAGAAGAAAGCATGCCGTCATCTCACCGACGATAAACTTCAGCGAGGAAGCGCTGCGCACGAGCCCGGTCAGGTCATCTCTCACTCCGGTAACGAAACAACTAAAAGAGGCAACGCCGCTCTCTCTGTGGGAGCGCTCGCCTGACTAGGAGAACTGGTGAAAGCTGGTGCTGGCAAGCGCTGGGGAGAAAAAAAAGAGACTTTACGCAAAAAGAGCCTTCATGCTTTCCGCGAATCGTCCCATTGTTCCCACCCACTCCTCCACAGCCCCCCCCCCCTTTCCTCCCTTCTCCCTGCTCTCAACACATCTCGCTAACTCGCGAAACTAGGATGCTCGCACGAGACCTCCTGCCTCCTCATCGTCTTCCTCCTCTTCCCGCGGGCGGAGACTCTCCTTCCTCCCGAGGGTTTGACTTCCCATCTAACCCCGAGGCGGTACGTCCCCCACTTAGCTAGCGGGTCCGCGGAAGCCAGCAGTGATAAGGGGCGATCGCGCCCGTCCTCCCTCCAGGTGACGGCCACGTTAAACCCTCCACCAACTTGCCACTAGCGTCACTTGGGTTATATTTTGCCCGTTGATTTGTTCTTAGCGGGCTTTGGTCAGTTGTTTCACGTGATTTTTTTTTTTGCTTGCTACGGGTAACGTTATGCTGATATAAATTCACTGACTAAATAAATACACGGATGGGAGGGAGAAAAAAATGGAGAAAAATGGGGCTACGTGCCAATACTATATAACGGCTCAGCACTGTATGGAGATGACAACAAACTGCCACAAACCATTTTCACCAGGAAATACGTCACATAATGGGCCGCTAGTGCTCGATTTGTACACCGTGGTCGCCGAAAGGGACGGGTGATTTTTGTCTGTTTCAATGCAGACAAAAAACTGGAATGAACTTGCCCGAGGTCACCTTTACCCACCCTATATTCGCCATTACCAGTTAAACCTCAGAATTAGGTGAAATTGACTAGCTTATTGATTCATATGGCATAATAATAAAGTAGCAATCTATTATGTACAAGTATATACGTATAGCAATTAGTTAGTTTTACCTACAGAGTGTAAAAATTGCTTTGCTAATGCTAAAACAGAGTAATTGTTTTTGTGTGATTGCAAACCCGATCGTCGTTATTTAATCGCTTTACTGGATTACTGCGCTGCGCGTGTGAACAAAACACACATCCCCCTTTCAAGTCAGCCGGTCTTGTACCGTACATGTAACCTCTGTGTGTGACCGCCATCTTGTGGATATCTATTCACCCTACATGCATGGGGGGGAAGCCCACCGTACGCTAGAGGGGGCCGTAGCACAACGTTCCCTGGTGTGTACGGTTGTGTCGTCTAGCCGTTACATAGCCTGGTATATAAGTGAACCCCAGCACCCTTTCAAGCAGCTACCCCTTAGCGCGGACCAAAGTTATCCCGGAATAAGGACAGCACGCATGTGCAACAAACCCGGATGTGGATGTTTCGTACGCGGCAGTAGCCTGGAGTCCAGCTAAGTTATGACAAATCATAACGAGCTGCTGAAAATGAAGTAAACAGTACCGGCAGAATAAAGCGCTAGCATTTCGATCCACTAGAAACCGGCTGACCGGACCGTGACATGAATGAACCCACGTGAGGGTCACGTAAGAGTGACAGCCCCCAAAAAAACTATCTGCTGCCGGAGAGCTGCACTCGTACTTAAGCGGCCAGAGATCACCAGCTGGTAAATATCGCGCCTTCGTTGTTTAAATAAACTAACGTTAATGTTACATTGAGAACGTCGTGTGCGGGCATTCCGAGGCAGCGGTGCCCCCCCCCCCCCCCCACAATGTTTCTCCCCCATTATCCTTTTGTCTTGTCTTGCAGACAGCTTCCCGTAACTTAAAGAGGATGGACTTCCGCGGCCGGAGGCACGAGCGGGGAAGCAACTGGACCGACCCGGAGATAGTGGAGCTGCTCCAGCTGTGGTCCGACGAGTCGGTCCAGATCGAGTTGGAGAGCTCGTTGCGCAACCAGCGCGTATTTGACCGCATAGCCCACATCCTGCGCGAGAAGGGCATCTACCGCACCGGGGACCAGTGCCGGGAGAAGATCAAGAAGATGAAGCTGGAGTACCGCCGCATCAAGGACAACCACAAGCTGAGGTCGTGGAAGTTCTACGACGTGATGGACCGGGTGCTGGCCAACCGGCCGGCTATCACCTACTCCTCCATGGGCGGAGCGGTCATCGCCCAACAGGTGTTTCAGGGCCACGCCGCCGGGCCTGAGGCGTACCTGCAGGGGCCTCCGGCAGCAGGTGCCTTCGGCCCCACTTCCTCGGGTGGGTTTCTGTTTGGTCAGCCCCCGAAAGCTGGCGATCCACTGGCCATCAAGTGCGAGGACGTTGAGGAGAGCATGCTGAATGCAGACGACGCTCCCCCCGAGATGTACTACGGGTCTGGAGACGACCAGGAGGCCGACAGGCAGTCTCTCCTGGGGCCCGAGGACGTCTCGACAAATGTCAGAATCTCACCTTCAGGTGGTCAATCTGAACACTATCAATACCAATATCAATACAATAGAAAGTGATGTGTAATCAAACCTCTATTTAACTCATACCCTTAGGTTTTAGTGACGTGAACGTTGCTGGATCTGCCACGGAGGCTGATACCGCGCCGCAGGACGCGCCCGCCCGGCCCGGCAAGCCGGCCCCTCATCCCCCGACGTCTGTCAGGCAGAGAAAGCGACGCCTAGGTGGCAAAACCACTCGGGGCCACGGGGCCGCCAGGTGCGGCAGCCAGAAGAGCCTGGATAAAGCCATGGCCAGCTTCATGAAGTGGCAGCGGTCAGCGGAGGAACGCCTCCTCTCATTGGAGGAGGCGCGGCTGGAGAGAGAGCTGCAGGCCGAGGAGCGCAGGGAACAGCGGGAGGAGAGGAGGGCGGAGCAGGAGCGGCAGCACGAGCTGCGCCTGTTCAGCATGCTCACGCGGGCACTGGCTGCCATGAAACAGGGCGCGGCGGCGGCGGCGATGCCGGCGGCCGACCCGTGCTCCTCCTCCCCGGCTCGCCCGTCAGCACCGCCGGCCTCCGTCACGTCGTCGCTGTCGTCTCGGCCCCCCTCGGAGGCTCTCGCCACACCGGCGGTTCCCGCGCCGTCATTCGCGAAGGCCTGCGAAGTGTCCCCGACTGTTTTGGCCACTCCCAGAGCCGCCTCGCCTGTCGGCCGTAGCGTGTACCTGTCCAACCGCGGCAACAGCATCCGGCAAAATCAAGGCATTCTCCAGGAGAGCTTTGCCCAGTACGCGATGGACAAATACCACAACACAGAGAACCCCGACGTGAGTCCGCGTCAAGAAATAACGTCGGACAGCTCTGATGTGGCGAGAAATGAAATCATAAAGAATGTTTTACATTTCTTTACCTCACTCGCAGGGCATAATCAACATGGGCACCAGTGAGAACAAGCTCTGCTATGATCTTCTTCATAGACGGGTACGAGCTGCATTCTAAGCCTGGTAATCTCAATCATTCTGTCTGCATTCACAAAATAATTTACTTTTCTTCTTTGCTGCAGCTCACCAAGCCTGACATGCTGTATGTTGGCTCATCCTTGTTGCAGTATTCCGACTGGCGGGGACACACATTGTAAGACAATAAAGAGTGGACCTTTTTATTTTTGTTTAATTTAAAGTAAAATTTGAACTATAGCTAAAGCCGTTTTTATTACCTTTTGTTCTTTTTCAGCCTGAGAGGGGAGGTTGCAAAGTTCCTGACTCACTACTGCTGTTCTCCAAAACCACTGAAAGCTGACAACGTGAGTGAAGAGCGTTGCTTTTAACAGCTGCCCCAGTCAGTTTAATACACCATATAGCCCGTCACATTCTGTAAGACGACAGCGTTTACTTTCTCCGCACGACATATTGGAGGGAAATATACTTTTGCATAATACTACTTTATCAACTGTACAGTTGCTAAACAATATTTAATAGTTTAGCCTGTTAGATTGACGGTAGTGTCACCTGAAGCACGATACAGCGCTGCTATTTTACCTATAAATCATTTAAAAGTCTTAGGAGGAGTTGTTGCACTGCTGAAAGACATTTGTTGTTGAGGTGAATAAAGAAGGCAGTTGTGCACACTGATTGACTTGCACCTCTTAATTGTGTAGTGTTTCCTCTTGGTTGACAGCTGGGTGAGTTTAACACCGGAATCCATCCATGTTTCTTTGTTTTGTTTTTGTAGCTGTCGTCCATCAGGGTTGCTGTGAAATGTGTAAAGAAGGGTTCCTTCCCATGACTGCACATATTTCCAGCAAGTTGTGAAATGAATACACTGACAAATATTTGATGAATATTTTATTCTCCTACTGCAGAAGTCACTGTGATAACAGCAATTTGTCAGAAAGGAAGGCAGTGGATTCAATGAGTTTAAGACTAAATGCTGCAACTGAACTAACATTATTTTAGTTTTTTTTGGGGGGGGCCTTCAACGTAATTTACAGATGTAATTAACGGCTGGATGAATTTGTAGCATATTTATCAGGCCTCCATTTGTGCTTTAATTGGGTCCCCCCATAACACAGTGGGTTTGTGTGCGTTTGCTTGTGCAGGTTGTGGTGATGAATGGCTGCAGTTCCCTCTTCTCATGTATTGCTGCAGTAATTTGTGATCCTAAAGGTAGGTTCAGATTGCTCTGGCACACACAATACATCCATATAATGCAAATATGTGCACTCTTTTTGTTTTACACAATGATCATTGTGTAAAATCTAAATGATGGGGTTATTGCATAATCATTTAACAAAACACATTTTCAATAATTTATCAATTTATTGTTCCTTAGTGCCGGCATTTTAAAGCATTGTCAAATATTTGTTTTGCTCAACAAGTGCTTTGAAAAGGATGAGGCTGATGATGGTAGCGTGTGTTTGCCCACTTTACTCTCAACGTGGATCATTGTGTTTTGTGCAAAAATGCCTGGTAAATTTGCTAATTTGACCCCCCGCTAAAACCCTAAATAGCTCCCTATGTAGGTCTTGATGTGTGTGTGTTTGCTCTTCAGTGCTCATTGTGGGTTTCATGTTGTAGATGCCATTCTCATTCCTACTCCTTTCTACGGCGTCATCACCGAGGATCTACATTTGTACAGCGATGTCAATCTCTTCCATGTTCCTCTTAACTGTGAGGTAGGAATACAGAGCGTGATATTCTTGCAGTGCTTATCATTGTTTAAAATGTTTGCTCTGTATTTGGTGTCGTACTGGTCGTAGACATTCAGTCCATCTCACATTCGTAGGCTTATTCTATTCACCTTTGAATGTCCAAGTTGAATGTTGTTTTTCATCTTTAGGCCGATGGCAAAGGCGGGCAGCCCTTCCACCTTACTGTCAGCAAACTCGAGGAAGGGCTTGAAAGGGCTAAACAAAAGGTAATTTATAAGCGTGTTTATTCTTAAATACTTTGATGAATTATTAAAGATGGACTAAACGGTTCCAAAAATGCTTAAAAGAAGCTCTCATTTAAAAAAAAGGCTTTGAACGCTCTTAAACGATATCCTCTGTGATGGTTTTACAGCTTCACGGTTCATATTTATTTAGAACCTGGCCGTCTCTTCTAGGGGTTGAGTATCCGAGCGGTCATATTGATGAACCCCCACAACCCTCTGGCTGAGATCTACACCCCCGAAGAGATGATTGCCTTCTTGGAGTTTGCCAAAAGGTATGTTTTTCCCGCTACTATCTCCCGCTGTGGCCCAATGCTGTAATTCTCAAGCACAAAGTGCCAGAGCACTGCATACAGGTCTTATGGGAACTGTTTTATTTTACAGCCCGAGAGCTGTGCCCCGCGTGCGCAGAATACCAAGCGGTCTTGATGGAGTTTAACACCTCTCTTAACCATCAGCATATTGTGAAGTGCAGCTATGTGCCAAGGAGCCTCCTGCATCATGTTTTCTAAATCATCTTGCCAGATTAATTCCCTCCTGCTTGCAGGCACTAAGCTGTTGTAACCGTAAACCACAGTGCTTTTGCACTGACGCAGGACGCTGAGGGGGACCGCTTTACCTTTCTGTTGCGTTTTCTTTCTCATAAAACAATGATTAACAACACAAAACTAAGGTTTATTATTATTATTATTGCTGTGTATATATATACTTATATTCTCCTTCTCTCCTACTTTAGAAATGAGCTCCACGCTATCGTTGATGAAATTTACATGCTGACGGTCTTTGAAGAACCTGTTGCCTTTCACAGTGTTCTCAGGATAGACAGGTACTGCATGGGCGCGCGAGGGCTCTTATCAGAGCGCTAATCATAATGAATGTGGCCAAAGACAATGTGCTCCTCTTTCAGCTTGCCCGACGCACAGAGGACACACGTCATGTGGGGTCTGAGCAAGGTACGGCCCGTTCTGCGCTGTATCAGTAGATGAGATGTGAGACTTGTTCCAACCCCCCCCGTCCTCGCAGCACGGGCAAATCTCTCGTTGTTCCTCAGTGGGTTCAGTTTGCTTCTGCTGTCCAAAATGTCTGAGCCCAAGTTGCTTTCTGGGCTCTTCCCAGCATCCTACTGCTCACACACACACATGCTAAGGGTGGTTTAAACACAGGCGGGACATCCCATGTATGTATGCCAAGATGTATATTAATTTCTTTTTGTTTTTGTTATAGGATTTTGCAATGGCAGGAACCAGACTAGGCACTCTGTATACTGAGAACACAGACCTTGTGGAGGCTATGGCCAAGCTGGGCGCTTTCCACGGTATCTCTGGAACCACCCAGCACCAGGTAGCACAGCTGCTCCAGGACAGAGGTACGGATCCAAGCTTCTCATGGGCTTTATGGGAAAATAATCTGCCGTCCTTACACATAGCAAGCAGGCTTTTTTTTTTTTTTAAATAGCTGAACTGGAATAATTTCTGTTTAACAATTCAGAAGTGTGCTTTTGTAGCGGTTAAACATCGGCCCTTTTTTTCGGCCTCCTTTTGATACGCCGGGAGCAACACGTGGTTCCGCCGCGAAACCAAAGCGTGATCTACACACGTAGTGTCACTTAACACTCTTGTGTTCCAGAGTGGATCAGCAACGAGTTTTTGCCCAGGAACCGATGCAGACTGAAAGCTGCTCACACTTACCTGACCGGAGAGCTGCTAAGCATGAGGATCCCCTACCTGCACAGAGCCGCTTCGCTGTTCGTCTGGGCCGACTTCCGAGAGGTAACCATATCAAAGTCACTCTGTGACGTTGGGGCTGATATATTTTATGTTCTTACCGGCACTAATGCAAAGTGACCCCACGTGGATATTTCTGGAAAACATGGCGCGTTCCTTTCAGAGCCCTTGACGTGTCTCTTCCACGTCTTTGTTTCGGTAGTACCTCAGAGAGTCCACGTTTGAGGAGGAGTTGGCCCTGTGGAGGCGTTTCCTCAGACACAAGGTGGTGTTGAGCTGCGGTCAGGCCTTCTTCTGCCCCACGCCCGGCTGGTTCCGCATTGTCTTCGCAGACCAACCGCACCACCTTCAGCTCGGTCAGTCTTCAGTCATCCGTAAACTTGAAAAAGCTGATCTGGATAGTTGCTGTTCACTCTAATTCCCATACTCTTCACCTAAACAACGTTTCAACGTCTTATTTTTGTCTTTGCTTTTAATGGATATGTTCTTTCAGGCTTGAAGCGAATGAGGAAGGCCTTGCGAGAAATGGAAGAGGAAAGCGCCAGCCCTTCTCCACACGTCAAAGAAGCCAGTCAGAAGGGTCACGAATCCGTGAAAGAGGACTGTGCCGATTCAGACAATGCCGCGGTTGTCAATTCAACGTCGTCACCTCAGAGCAAGTCATCGGACCAAGAGACGGAGAAGGACGGACCCGTCCCCAACGCCGGCCCGCCGGCCGCTGACGAGTTTGTGCTGCTGGACTGCCAAGCCTCTAAGCCTGCCGACAGCCTGGCCTCTCTGATTGGCACGCTCAGCCAACAGATCAATGCCTCCGATTGGCTGGAGAAAAACACTCCAGAGCTGTCTGCCGGGGAGGACCCAGATATTCTTGATGTGTTCAAGGCCCTGCTTCAAAGAGCCAGAAAGTGAGCTTAGGATAAACTGGCACCAATGCAGCTGCCAGGTTTCAAGAGTCGGCCCTTCGGCGTCCCTTTTTTTTCGTCCCTGCTTTAAAGGGGAAAAGCTTGAAGCAAACCCAAAAACACAGAGTCAAAGTTTGGCAGATTATTAGAGAGTATAAAACAATACCTAAGAGCAGCGTAAAAAGGAGGCCAGGATGGAAGGACCTGACAAAGTGCTTTTCTACCTGCATCTCAAGGCCTTCTTTTCCATCTGCACAGGGACACGACTTTGTTCTTTTTGTAATCCAGCTTGCTAAAATGTATGTTTATTTACCGCATGCTAAGTGAATGCCAAATTTAAATCAACCAAAATCAGTCAAGCTGTATTCTAAGATTTTAATTGTAACCTGAAAAATACACTCTATCATTTGTTCAGATGCAGTAAGTATGTACTTTCTGAAAATGTAATGATCTGTGAATAAATATTATTCTTTATTTGACTATAATCTTTTATTTAGAGTACATCTGAATTGGCCATTAATATATTTTAATATATTTAAGATATTTACCGTCTTATTTTTCATGAGATGTGCTCCAACGGCGTGTTACTGTTTTTGATACCTCGGTCTGGCTGGGTGGGCTGTGGACGCTGTTCTGTTGGTGGTGTGACGCAGAGGAGAGATATCCGAGGTTGACGAAGCCATCGTCACCACCATCGCCCTGCCACCCGAGGGTGGGATTTCCTTACATGTTTTTGTCATGCATAATGGCCCACTGACACCCCCACTCACTCATTTCATACTAACAAATCTACTACGAATGGCTTTTAAAAAAAAAACATGACTTCCTTTTACAGTCCAGTTATTAAATCCCCTACTGTTTTGGGATATCTTTCTACACAAACATCTTCTTCTCTCTCGTACCGAGACCAGTCGCACCGAGGAGCAGCTCCGCTCATTTTGTCCACTTTCACCTCTGGCAACGGCAATCGCTTAACGAAACAAAGAGCAGGAGCTCCTAGATACTTACAAAACCAGTGGGATTATATTTTCTTTTAGATAAAACAGGCATTTTTCAATATTTTTACGACTTCCTCAACGCTACGCGAGGAGGCCTGCCAAACAAGATAAGCCTGAGCCTGTGCTACAGTGCTAAAGGTAATTAGCAGAAGATGCCTCCCTTCTCTACGGAAGATTACCACAAACTCGTACAGAAGATTTTACTGCTGGAAACAAAAGTTAATCGGTTAGAGGTAAATGTAGAAGTAAATGGACCATGTGGGAACAACACCACTCTAGCAATGACTCAAAACAGTGGACAAGAGCATGCTAGAACCCAGCTAACTAGCAATGATGGAACTATGAAGAAACTGGAGGACTCTGTACAGGGTAATAAATCTACCAGCGACAATCCTCCCTGGACCACACTTGGTGCAAAGCCAAAGAGAAGACCAGACAAGGGAGAACGGATAACTGGCAGGACCCAGCGGCCCGATATCTGTGATCTGGCCGACTGGCCTGCGTTACCATCCAGGCATAACGCCTCCTCAACCCCCGTTCTTCGTAGAACAAAGCAGCGGACAACTGAGAAGAGGGGAACTACCAAGGAACCTCCCCAGCAAACAGGTGTAAATCTACAAAACAGGTTTGCTCCACTGTTGCAGGACCATGGATCCCCCTCTAAATTTCTGGATAACCCTCCACCACCACGCAGCAGGGTAAGACCTGCTAACTTAAAGCCACAGAGAAAGCTAACGACAGGGCCTGAAAATCTGATTGTGGGTGATTTTTCTGTAAAAGATATGAAAAGTAGTAACGACACCAAAGTACTCTGCTTCCCGGAGGATATGGTGTCTGACTTGGAAGAAAGAATTTTGGAAATTGTGGCTGAACACCCAACTGTGAAAAACTTAATTCTGCACATTGGCTCTAATGACATTGAAAAACAACAATCAGAAAAGTTGAAAGAGCACTTAATCTCCTAGAAACAGTCAGCTCTGTGAATGCTGAGGTGTTTATCAGTGGTCCTCTGCCCCCGACCGGGAGAGGAGCTGAGAGATTCAGTAGACTGTTTTGGCTCAACAAATGGCTCTTAACTGCATGTGCAGTTCGTTCAATGCATTCTATCAACAATTTTAGCTTTTTCTGGGACCGCAGGCATCTTTTTAAGACAAATGGACTTTGCCTGAATGAGATGGGAGCAAAGCTTGTCATTACCAACATGTTTTACATCATGCGTCATCCATCTGTCCCCACTGCCAAGGACACGAGACCAGAAGAGGAGCCCACAAAGAAGGAAGAGAAAACACAGCTTATCAGAAACGGCGAAGGAGGACCGCCATTGCCATCCCCCTCTAACCCTCCTTCCATTACGTGTGAGGATCCCTCTCCCACCCCCCCAGAGCCCCCATCCAGGTCCACGTGTAAGAATACGTGTTCAAGATTTGGAGCCTGGTCGGGGTTATCAAAAATTCAGCCGAATAACTTCTCTCGTTCTGGGAAATTTATTTGTCAGATCACAGGTCAAGTATCAGCGCTGCGTTTGCAAAGGCAGGAGCAGTTCAGGCAGCACACAGGCCGGAAGAACAACTAACTAACATCAGCAAGAACATCATGTTTTATAACCCTTGAAAGACAAAGAAGGAAATATTTCTATTGGCCCTAAACTGGCGTAGAGGAGGACCTTCCACCTCCCGCATCTAAGATCCGGTCACATCCAATGTCCAGACTCCTGACTTAACGTAAACATCGTAAACAGAGTGTGTATGTTGAATAGTGTTGGTGTGTCTAAACCCCCCTTTGGCTGGTAAATCTTCTAGTTGACCCGCAGACCTTACATTCCTCAGCCAGGACAGAAACTGACTCCCCATCCTGTCAGACTCGTGTCTGCCTGCTTGGCAGATCCTGCTTCCCCCCTTACTTAACTCTTAAATCAAGACAAGACAGCAAACCCCCAACTAAGCCCATGAAAATAACTTTTGATTATCAATTCCCCCTTTTTACATAATTCATTATGTAAACCAAAAAAAATCAAAAGAAACCACCAATCTAAACGCTAAATATCTATATCAGTGAATACGGGTGAATGCAGCAGTCATGGAAATCCCTAAACAGTACAAAAAATCTAAACCGAGTATAATAGACACAGAATACATCCTAGCCCAGAAATATCACACCATCTACGTGTATGCATCCACTATATATGATGTGTGCAACAGTTAGCAGATCACGCGGACAGGAATGTTGAACCTAAAAGGATTTCTTCTTCAGGTCCCTCGAAGTCGGTTCTTACCATACCTATCTCCTCTCCAATCTCCTCCGGCCCTAACAATTGGATCCTTTCATGTAACAAAGCCATCTGGTATGGCAGGGGTATTTTAGCATCTATTGCAGAGGTGATGCATCGGAGACATAGTTGTCTGATAAAGGGGATGCAGCAGCATCCACAAAGGGCAAAAACCACTATTGCGATTACTAAGGTCAGAAAAACTGACAGTAAGAAGCCCTTCCATTGTCCAAAGTATTTACCAAACCAATTACCGACGGTGCCGTCTATACCAGAGTGTTCAGCTAATTCAACAGACATGGCTCTGAGTCCGTGTAATGCTCTAGTAAAGGATCCATCTGCGGCGGTGTTATTGGGGATAAAAGTGCAGCACGCTTGGCCAAACATCGCACACACTCCTCCTTTCTCAGCTAATAACATATCCAAAGCCATCCGGTTCTGGTAAGTCATCAATGAGGTGGCCGATAGTTGGCTGTGCACCCCTTCCAGAGCATCTCTTGTCATATTGGTGAGCCGCTGGATATTGAAATGTACATAATTTAGTCGATCCACATTTTTGTTCACATTTATAAAAAGGGAACAATGATTCCCATCCGGCCGCTATCTGATCCGTTCACTTGTATTGATCAGGTACCCCTCTCGGCACACTATCACACAGTGCGTGGTTACTTCTGCAACTTTGTATGGACCTTCCCAGCGGGGATCAGTCCAACTGAATCTGGCTACTTTACGTAGTACCCAGTCATCCACCTCCACTGGTGCACCCTCTCCTTCTTCTTCAGAAAGGATCTCTGTCACCTGTTGAGAGATACTCATCACAGTATTATTACACATTCTCATATAGTCAGATGTTTCCACATGTTGGTACTGCAATGGGCTGACAGTGGTAGGCAAAGTGGTTGTTAACGGACAAGGCATCTTTCTTCCCGTTAATACCTCATGCGGGCTTATCCCTAACTTAGAGTTAGGACATGATCTTATCCCATACAGCACTATCGGCAGGGCTGCCACCCACGTCAGCTTCGTTTCAGCACAGACTTTAGCCAAACCTTCCTTTATGGTTCTGTTAGCTCTCTCAACTAGCCCTTGAGACTGAGGATGATAAACTGCCCCAAATTTATGCTTGATCCCAAACGTTTTCTCTATTTCTTGTAGTTCAGCGTTCGAGAAGTGTGAACCATTATCCGATCGTATGACTTCTGGAATACCAAATCTGGGTATTAGTTCTCTGGTCAGCCATTTTACTACGTCTGCTGCTCTTTCTGATTTTGTGGGGATCACCTCCACCCACCTAGAAAAAGGATCAACGCATACCAACAAATACCTCTTGCCCTCAACTCGATCCTTCATTCCCATGTCTGTGAAGTCTATTACCACCTCTTTCCATGGTGCCATAGGGGCAGGGAAACTTCCAAGTCCAGCCTTCAGTGTTAATCTCCACTTTTATTGCTCTTCAGCCCAAAAGCAAAGCAGAGAGACATGTCTGTTACTTGCAGATACAACTCAGCTCATGCTCAGTTTGATCCAATCCATTCATTCATTACTGATAGATCACCAACCTCTCATGGTTAGCGTATCCAAATGTAAGGGTGTACTACTTGTTGAACATTACCGTCTGTAACAAGTTTCCATATTTCGTGTACTGGTGCTATAAATGTTCCTTTGATCAGACATTTGCTTCCATCATCAAGATACTGTATCAAGTGTATCGTGCACTATACACTCAATAGCAGCACTCAACAATTTACCGCCCATCTCTGAATTTAGGAGAAAACTCGAAAAACTACAAACATTAATCCAAAAAATGGACAATATATACAACAACTCTCCTAATTCCTTATCACCTTCATTCCTCATTTAAATCTTACACAACCTTATCTCTTAATTTTCAATGACTGATTGTCTTGCCGTGGAAAGTGTGAACGCGTTTGACTGTAAGAACGCAACTATTCCATGCGATGTGTGCACAACAGTCTGGTGTTCCATTGTTATATGGGCCGTTTTAATCAACGCTCTTCCAATAGCAGCTACGTTTCTGACACACGAGGGATGCCCTATTTCCACGTTATCCAGCTTACCACTATAGTACATCAAAACCTTACGATCTGTGTTACCCTCCCCCTTTTGAAACAGAACGGAATTCACAAATCCGTTCTTTTCACAACATCCAGATGGAAGGGTCTCGAGTAGTCAGGGGGGTGAAACGTGGCTGCGCTGGCCATGGCCTGCTTGGTGGCAATAAATGCAGTCTCCGCCTCCCGGGTCCACACCAAAGGCTTTGAGTAGTTTTTATAGCCTGCACCCAATATTAGCGCCCTCAAGGGAGCCACCTGCACCGAGAAATCAGGTATAATATTCTAGCTCCATGTTACAAGTCCTAAGAATTTCATCATTTCTCTAACCGTCGTGGGCCGAGGATGTTGCAAAATGGACGACTTCTGTGTGTCAGTCATAGCTTGCCCTGATGGTGACACAATTCTCCACAGAAAATTCACCTTCTGTCTCCCAATCTGCAATTTCGATTTAGACACTTTGAAGCCGTTTTCCTGTAACCACCGCAGAACCGTTCTGGTAGCGGACATAATCGTTTCTGAGCTAGTCCCTGCTAGCAGAATGTCGTCCACATATTGTAGTAAAACAACTCCTTCTGGTAGTTCTAACTCGGCCAAAATGGTTTTCAGAACATGGTTAAAAATTGATGGTGAGTCCACATAACCCTGTGGTAACCGCGTATATGTATATTGGCGCCCCTTATACGTAAACGCAAACGTTTGTCTCGAGCTCACAGCTAGAGGACACAGAAAAAAGCATTCGCCAGGTCAATGCAGGTGAACCATCTTTTATCAGGGCCTATTGCATTTAACATTGTATAAGGATTTGGGGTGTCATAGTGAGTTGGTACTACAACTTTGTTGACGAGCCTCAAATCATGCACCATTCTATAGTCAGGCTTTCCGGGTTTAGGGACCGGATTAATCGGGGTATTCCAGGGGGACTCCGTCCTCTCCAATACACCTGCCTGCAGCAACCCTTCAATTGTATTTTCTATCCCTGCTATTTGTTCCTCCCTTAAGGGGTACTGAGGACGGTAAATTGGGACCGTTCCGGTTTTTAATTCAATTACCACTGGGGCCATTGGAATCAATCCCACATCAGCTCCCCCTTTTGTCCAAAATGTATCAGGAAAATCATCTAGCATGAGCTGTGTGTTCTCATGGTCAGTATTTTCCCTACCATGTGTGCGGCTTAGCAGGTGTTTCTCTGGTATAAGTTTTACTTCTGAGGTATGTGCAATACGGTACATGTCATTAGCCTGAGAGTAATGTAAGTTAACATTTTGAGTGGGCACCCAGTCCGTGGCATCAACCCCCGCTTTAACCATCGGCCCCATGTTCTTAGCTTCTCCTCCGCTTTGGATGAGCAAGGTGATGTGAGGAGCAGAGGTCTCTTGTAGCGCATATAGAACTTGTAACTCAGAGGTTAGTTCCACCGCAGCTGCCACACCTTGTTTCCCCACATAGATCTCTCGGACCTTAACAGCAGGATGTCCATGGACCTCGCTTTCAAACTCAAGTCCACTCCACAGGGTGTCATAGTTCTCATCAGGAGACAGCGAATAGTTCATCGTGCAATGAGGAGGATCCGCAGGTGGTTCAGTCGGGTGTAATACCTTGAACCATGGGCCCCAACGGCGGACAGTCTCATGCAGAACAGTTCGATCATAGTCCTCCACTCTCCCCCACCAGACCTCTGCTTCGTCATTCAGCGTCTGTTGAACTTCAGCTTGCAGCAACTGGTGGCCATAAGAGTGGGGTGTGGCACATCGTTGCTGTGTCCCATCCGGGAATGTTACAGTGATACATCCCTTCGTCATTTGCATAATGATATTTTGGGAACACAAAATGTCTCTTCCCACCAGGTTAATCGGGCAGGCAGTGGAAACCAAAAAGGATTGGTCAAAACAGAGCGATCACACGGATTGCAACTTGGATTTCTACAGACTAAGAGTCGACCTCAGGGAACTCAAGTGAGCCCCGTCATTCCTTTTTAAACTCTTCATATATTTACCTAAGTCCCTAAACCTAAACCTAAACCCCTACACTGTTCTAAACTGCCAGTCCACTGCATGCAAACGTGGGACTGCAGTTACCAGAGGTATCTACGTACCACACGGATTGCAACTTGGATTTCTACAGACTAAGAGTCGACCTCAGGGAACTCAAGTGAGCCCCGTCATTCCTTTTTAAACTCTTCATATATTTACCTAAGTCCCTAAACCTAAACCCCTACACTATTCTAAACTGCCAGTCCACTGCATGCAAACGTGGGACTGCAGTTACCAGAGGTATCTACGTACCACACGGATTGCAACTTGGATTTCTACCGACTAAGAGTATATATATTTTTACCTAAATCCCTAAACCTATGGACACTTATTCACTTTCCCTAACGTTGAATTCAGTGTGAGTATGTGCTTATACTTTACATGTGATCAACAGAAAATTTTCAAATTTAGTTTTAAATTTAATGGTCTTATAACGACCTTATTCAGTCAATGGACAGAGACGAATTCTGCAGTTGACAACAAATCTTTTTAGAAGTATCCAATCACAGACATTTTATTCATTTAGAACGGGGTTATCAAAAATCCAGCCGAATAACTTCTCTCGTTCTGGAAAATTTATTTGTCAGATCACAGGTCAAGTATCAGCGCTGCGTTTGCAAAGGCAGGAGCAGTTCAGGCAGCACACAGGCCGGAAGAACAACTAACTAACATCAGCAAGAACATCATGTTTTATAACCCTTGAAAGACAGAGAAGGAAATATTTCTATTGGCCCTAAACTGGCGTAGAGGAGGACCTTCCACCTCCCGTATCTAAGATCCGGTCACATCCAATGTCCAGACTCCTGACTTAACGTAAACATCGTAAACAGAGTGTGTATGTTGAATAGTGTTGGTGTGTCTCTAACCCCCCTTTGGCTGGTAAATCTTCTAGTTGACCCGCAGACCTTACATTCCTCAGCCAGGACATAAACTGACTCCCCATCCTGTCAGACTCGTGTCTGCCTGCTTGGCAGATCCTGCTTCCCCCCTTACCTAACTCTTAAATCAAGACAAGACAGCAAACCCCCAACTAAGCCCATGAAAATAACTTTTGTTATTATCACACGTCTCCCTCTTTCTCCCTCCCTTCAGTAAACCTTTCTCCCCCTCCTCCCCCTTGGAGTTCCAAGAGTTACCCCCACTTACCCCCCACCCTACTCCTATTTTTACTCCCTTAGATCGACCTCAGCGCCCTCCCCCCCAGCGTCCACCTGCACCAGCTCATCTCAGCGGTGACGCCATCTCACGCCGATCTGCCCCCCCCACCTCTACGAAGACGTGCTCCACCTCCACCTCCACAAATCCATCCCAGCTGTGACGCTGCTCACTCCCCCCCCTTAGCCCCACCCCCTCCTCCTCCTGACAGCAGCCCTGAATATTACTGAGATAGAAAAGGGTTCAGCAGTAGACCGCATTATCAGCTGGACCCAAGGTCGCCTACGTCAAAACATGGCACCTTCTGCATTCCTGTTGTGACCACCAAGAGAGTGAACATTGCGAAACTTAGACACACTGCTAATCTAACAAATCTCATTCCTATTCTCTCCAGCTCAAAGTCAACCCCAAAGCCTGTGAATAACAACATCAGGATGGCTCTGCTTAATGTTAGGTCTCTTAATAACAAATCGTTTTTAGTCAATGATTTTATTACCACTTCTAAACTTGATTTTATGTTTTTAACTGAAACATGGCTAGAACAAAATAACAGTGCAAGCATTCTGATTGAGGCAGCACCCCCCAACTATAACTTTATTAATGAATGTAGATCTGGAAAAAGAGGCGGAGGGGTTGCTGCTATATTAAAAAATATATTTCAGGGGAAACAGATGTCACTTAGGGATTTTCCATCATTCGAATATCTTTGTGTTGTATTGAAAGGTTCTCCCAGAGTTCTCCTGGTAATTATTTACAGGCCACCTAAATATTCTGCACATTTTTTCGATGATTTTACTGAATTATTGTCTAGCATCTCTACCGACTTTGACTGTCTAGTTATAACTGGTGACTTTAATTTTCATACTGACGATTTGAATGACAAGGGTGCAAAAGAACTTTTGACTATTTTAGACACATTTGAACTGTCTCAACATGTGAAAGAGGCTACTCATTGTAAGGGACACACCCTGGACCTGATTATCACAAAAGGTCTCATTGTTTCGGATGTTTTTGTGACTGATCCCTCATTGTCTGACCACTTCTGTGTTTTCTTTAATATTTCTTTCATTCCTGACACACAATCAAAATTAAATACTGTCAAAAAACGGTACATCAATGAACATAATAACGTACTCTTTAAAAATGTCATCTCCTCGTTACCACCTCTAATCCCATGTCATGCTGATAATCTTGTAAACAACTTTAATTCCAAAATTTTGAATGTTATAGATGACATTGCACCTGCTACGGTTAAAACCAGTTCTAGTAAGCAAAAGGCACCCTGGAGAAAAGCTGCCGTTGTAACAGCCCAGAGAAGAGAGTGCAGGAAGGCTGAACGAATCTGGCGGAATACAAAACTTCATATTCACCATGACATCTATAAAGAGTGCCTCCGGGCCTACAATTTAGACTAAAAAAGAGCTAGGGAAACATTCTTCTCCAACATCATTAACAACAACACTAATAAGGCAAAAACCCTATTTGAAACTGTTGACAGACTGACCAACCCCCCAACACAAATACCACCTGAACTCCATTACACACAGAAATGCAACGAGTTTGCGTTCTTTTATACTGATAAAATTGAAGGCATCAGACGCGCCATTAATATCTCAAACAAAAATGTTGGATCACCACCCTATTTAGGCAAAAGTAACACAGCAATGATGACACGCTTTAATGCCATAGACTCTCAAACTCTAGTGGAAACGGTGACAAAGTTAAAACCATCCACCTGCTGTCTTGATGCTCTACCTACCAACTTCTTTAAGAATGTTTTTGACTGCCTAGCAACAGACGTATTGCAAATAGTTAATAACTCTATTCAGACAGGCCATTTCCCAAAAGCTTTCAAAACTGCAGTTATTAAACCTCTCCTAAAAAAGCGGAGCCTATATGCCTCTATTATCAACAACTACAGACCAATTTCAAATCTACCTTTCATAAGTAAAATAATTGAGAAAGTTGTCCTACAACAACTTAATCACTTCCTGGCTTCAACTGGCTGCCACGACAATTTCCAGTCAGGATTTCAACCTCTTCATAGCACCGAGACGGCCCTTATTAAAGTTGTAAATGACATCCGTCTTAACACAGACTCTGGCAAAACTTCAATATTAATGCTATTAGACCTCAGTGCTGCATTTGATACTGTCGACCACTCAATACTTTTGGACAGGTTAGAAAACTGGGTGGGGCTCTCAGGCACAGTCTTAAGCTTGTTCAGGTCATATCTACAAGACAGGAACTATTTTGTTTCCATTGGTGACTTCGTATCAGAAACTTCGATCTTAGGGCCGACTTTATTCAACATCTACATGCTCCCACTAGGACAAATCATGCAAAGAAATAAAATTGACCACCATTGCTACGCTGATGACACCCAAATCTGTGTAGCGCTATCACCAAACGACTATCGCCCCATAGATATTCTGTGCCAGTGCATTGAGCAAATCAAAGACCGGATGTGTCAAAATTTCCTACAACTAAATGAAGACAAAACTGAGATCATTGTATTTGGTGCTAAAAAAGAAAGGTTTAAAGTAACCCAACACCTTCACTCTCTGTCCCTGAAAACATCAAATAAAGCCAGAAATCTGGGGGTTATTATGGATTCAGATTTACACTTGGAGAGTCACATCAAATCAGTAACAAAATCGGCCTACTACCACCTCAAAAATGTGGCACGACTTAGAGGGCTCATGTCAGCTCAAGACTTAGAAACACTTGTACATGCCTTTATGACTAGTAGGCTAGACTATTGTAATGGTCTCCTTGCAGGTCTCTCAAAAAAAACTGTCAGGCAGCTCCAGCTTGTTCAGAACGCTGCTGCTAGAGTTCTAACAAAGACCAAAAAATGTGAGCACATTACACCAATTCTTAAATCCTTACATTGGCTCCCAGTATGTCAGAGAATTAATTTCAAAATCCTACTGCTCACATATAAATCACTACATGGTTTAGGGCCAAAGTATATCACTTATATGCTTCCACTACATAAGCCTTCAAGATCACTAAGATCTTCTGACACCAATCTGTTAGTGATTCCCAGAGTAAATACAAATCATGGGAAAGCATAATTTAGTTACTACGCAACAAACAGCTGGACTAAACTTCCTGAAGATTTAAGACTTGCCCCAACTCTGACCACGTTTAAAACAAGACTGAAAACCTTTATGTTCAGCTTCGCCTTCTGCAAAATTTTTACCTACATTGCACTTTTAACCTCTGCCTTTAATTAAACAATTTAAATAAGATTTTAATTTATAATTGTATTTGCTGTTTTTAATTGTCTTTTAATTCCTGCATTTTATTCACTTTATTGTATGTGAAGCACTTTGAGTCTGCCTTGTGTATGAAAAGCGCTATACAAATAAAATTGCCTTGCCTGTCGCTTTCACTTTCTACAGTATGAGCCACGGGTCACAAGGGAGAATTCACGGGGAAATTTAGCCGCCGCCTGGGGGAGTTTCCATTGCATCGGAGGCGGAGTAAACCTGAAGGGTCTGATTTGCAAGTGAGGGCTTGTAGTCTCGATCAGTACAAGTAGGCTGTACAAAGTCTTTGTACAGTTGTGTAGACTTTGTTTACAGCTTTGCTCCGGCTTTCTTTCTCTACAGCAACACAGGTAAGACACTATTTTAATTAGAATTTTACTTTCTGATATCATTGTCACGGCTCCTCCTCGGCCTTGCAGGGGCGGTTCCTCCTGCAGGCAGAGGAGGGTCTTTAGCGATTGGAGCCACCTGGGCTCTAGGTATAAGAAGGCCTCTAACCACTTCTCTCCTGCTCTCTGCTCCTCCAGGTATGATCCTGTTTTGTTTGTTCCTTTGAAGGTTTTACGTTGTTCACACTCAGTCATGTTTACACATACAGATTCACTCAACCATGCACCTTACATACACCTTACACTATGACATTCGCACACCTCATTCCTTTTCTTTGTTTAAAGTTACTAGTTTTTGATTTATAATAAACTCTTCTTTTTATTGGCCTATACTTGGTGTTTGTGTCCCCTCATTCTTGCCACAGGCTATGAGCCGGCCTGTGACATCATATTCATCTGATGTAGGTTAGTTTAAAAACTTCTCACTGTTACTCACTTTCAATGCACTCTGAATACTCATCTGTTCCTCTTGTCCCGATCTGTTTTCTTTGCCTCTCGATGATCCAGCACTATGACGTTTCTGGAGCTGAGGGACTCCAACAGTCGCTTCAGGTTTTCTCAGTCCTGCGTGGGTTTGGCCGGTTGCCTGTGTGTCTGCTACGCGGTCTGGACACTCATTCTGGCTGAAGGACCGGGGTCTCTGGACAGCGGGGAATAACACCAAAAGTGACCAGACAAGCAGTAGAGATGGTATTCTCTTCAACGGTGAGCAACATGCCACATTTACATCTTTAACATTTGTCTGCAGCCCATCAAATCACATTTGGTCAAAAATGTGGTTTAGGTTGCATGTTTTGACAATGTGTGAAAAAGAGCAGAATATAAAACCACTGCTGATAAGGCACTGATTCTGCTACAGGCAAGCCTTGCCTTTTTATTTCTCATCTGAATCATCCTTTCTCACCATGAGGAGCATCTGAAAAAAAACAGCGCTGCAGGGCATCTCCTCTGTCAGCAGCCATAAACAAATTTGAGCTCGCCTCAGCACCAGAGGAGCGAACTCTTACCAGACAGGTTCCCACTCGGCTGGAGACTAATTTCTCGTGAGCTTGGCCAGCTTCTCTTTGTCAGGTGCATCTTGTTTGTTGACGTATTTAAAAAAAAGGACAAGCTGTTGGACGTGTTCCCCTGGCAGTGTGAAAATGACAACAATTCAGATTGAATCGAGACGAAAACAGCTGTGAATGTGAATCGATTATCAAACTAGGAAAACCTTTTTTAAATGATGGCGATGTGAATTCAAAAATGTAATATTTTAGGTATTGAAGAAGGGATTAGTCCAGTAACAAGTAACTAAACTAAGATCAGAAACTGTAGACTTGGATAACTGTCCCAGCAGGTACATTGGTCCTCATGCGGGGAAGACAAAGTATCAGCAGTGAAAACACATTAAAGCCGCAAAAATGAGCTGATCACTCAGCATGTGTTACCTTAAATCCTTGAACAAGGAAAATACAACGATGAAATACAATGCAGTCAGCTCAACACTAGTGTCTGAAAGCTACTATCTCTCATGACCACATTGATAAGCAGTAACCAAATGAACAATTCACAAACCGTCTGTAACTGTACATGGAACAACTTGTTCATATTTTTGTGGTTTTGCTGAAGGAATGAAAGCAATTAAATGTCAGCTCAATAGACATGAAAACAACCCATAAAGTACACCTTGATACATGTGATGAGGGAACGCAACCATGAGACATCAATTCAATATGCTGCCTGTTTATAACAAAAATGTAATCCGCTTAAAGGTCGATATCAGAGTCTAGTTTCTCCTTCCCGTTTCTGAACTGTATATGGTCGTCTATGTGTCTTCCAGTGCTGGAAGCAGAGAGAGTATTTGGAGTTCTTTCCTTCCTCATGGCGTCAGTACTGGTGCTTTGTGTCTGGTGTTCGCCCTCTGCTGGAGATCTGAGACGGTGCACTCCTACTCCAACACGCGCTCCCTCCTCATGGCAGAACAGGCCCTCTACCCCTCAACGCTCCTGTTGCTCACATTGGCCTCCACAGGTAACACCACTGCACTGCTGGGAAAAACCAACATGTCACAATACATTGCATGTTACACGCAGCATGACCAAAAATACCAGGATGTTGCATTTCTGTTCAGTTCTGGCCGCGCTTAACCGAGTGGTCCTCTGCGCGGCAATTATGTGAGCGACAGGGTCACAGTTGAAAAGTGTGACTTTGCAAATGCACATCGTGTCCACATTGAATGCAAATGCCACAATACAAACGTATCATGGGCAGCGAAAAGACTAAATTGAAACCCGTCTGGTTTTCCTGAGCCACACAACATGTATTATTTTTTTCTAAAGGAATAGTTCTGTTTTAAAATAATAAATACGTTCCAAGAACAGTAGTAAAACACAGCCCCCGTTTCCAAATAACCTCCGAATAGCTGTGCTTTGTGCAGTTCAAACTTGGAGTTTCTTTATGTTCTCCTCATTGACGTACCCTGCAGGGAGGCAGTTTTTAAAGAGATGTTCTGCTTCTCTCGGATTTGCAGTTCATTATCATTCAAACTCTTGCGTAAAGCTCAAGCCACATTGCAATTGACCTCCCACTATGATGCTTGATTTGACTCATTTGTTTCCTTTTATTCACAGGATTCTGTTTCCTCCTCAGCTGGTCTCTCTTTACCCATCAGCACCGGGAAGAAAGACTTTTCCAGCCTCGGCTCCTCCTATTGGCTCGGAGCTTTAGGCTGGGTCCTGCTGTTAGTCCTGGAGACGATAATCTTTGTAGCCGAGCAAGCTGTCGTGCCTGACATCCTGCCGGACTTGGAGAGGGCCGTGGAGTCCGTTCGGATTTCCCATCCAACGAAGGCCGCACTACGCTCCTGCAGCGATGGCTATTACCCTTGTAACAGCAAAAGAAACATGGCTCCCAAGAGCCTCGGTTAGAGTGCAAGGACGTGACTGGGGAAACGGTTGGGAATGTGTTAGCAACACATTAAAGCACACAGACTCAATGAGGGAAACCAGCAATTACTCGCCGCTCCGTACAAGCAGAGTGAATATGGATGAACTGTGGACAGAGTTACGTTTTCGCCAGAGGAATCACGTCTTCAGTGGGACTGAAGCGTCCAGTGTCCGAAAGAGCCGGTGGTCATTCTCCAGTTTGTCACCGGTACCGACCGACTTTTACGTCAAACATACTAAAAACACTAAGGATGAAATGCTCGAGGGCAACTGTTTTCTAATAAAGTCAATGTGATTGATTTCTTGAAGCTTTCTCAGAGTTTCGGATCCAGTTGTGGAGGCTTTTCAGTTGAATCATGGTAAAACACACTCACTAAAATGCCAACTCATACTAAATTTCAGCGGTTGCTGTAATATAGTTGTTGAATGTTAAAACAGAGCCGTATTGTGGACATTGAAATTATCGTGAGTTGCACATTGGGGGAAAAAAAGCATTGCGTGGCCGTACCAGTCAATCAATCAATGATCCTCTTTTATTACCACTTTGTTGTCATATGACACAATATAGCAAGCTCAACAAGTCTTTGAGCAAGACAAGACTTTGACTGCGCTGGCCGTGCGCTTTCTACACCGTTTCACAGCTAAAGTCAAAAGGTCCGTCTGCCCATGAGGTGGTATCAGAGAGCAGGAGTAACGGGTGCTCAGTCTGAGCGTGATGTTTAACCGCGTACCTGCCAGCAGGAGGTGCACATGCAGTGCGTGTGCGTTTCCGCCGTGCAGTCCCCAGCTCTGCTCCTTGTTTTGACCAGCCGACGGCCTCCAGAGCCGTTATTTACTTTTCCTGTCACACCTTCCCTGGAGGAGAGGAAGCACTCCGATGCTGGACTGCTTGTGTTGATGTTCTTAACCTGCGAAAGTGGGGGAGAATTAAGCGGCTCTGGTCCGTTAATTGGGCGTTAATCAGGTGTTGCTCTAATTAAAAGGCAGTTCCGCCGAGCTGGGCCTTGGTAATGAGTTTGTCATTAAATCCACGGTGGATTTTTGCCTCTTTTTTTAATTTACAGACAGGATAGTGCTTAATTGCGGTGTAAATGAGGGGAATGTCCTTGAAGGTCGCCTTGCCTCAGCGCATCCATGTGGAGAATTGTTCCAAAGAGCTTCCCCCACCCAAACCTACAACAACTTACTACAAATTCATTCAATTCACTGTGTTGACCTCCCGTTTCCAGCTGCGCCTCTCAGTGGCAACTTCACTAAAAAGGAGCTCCACCATTTGCTAAATTGAGGGAGCAGTCACACTCCTTACTTTTCAAAATGTAATTTGTAATGAGTAATTTCTGAATTGATTTCCCTTCCCCCGGTAGCGACTGTCTCGGCTAAAACAAGCATACGTTCTTTTGCGGCTGTCAGTGTCCATAAAAAAAAAAAAAAAAAAAACGCTTTTCCCCCACCACCACAAACGCTACCCCCCTCCCCCCCCTTTCAGACCAAAGGATGTGAAGGCCTCGGCAGAAACACAGGATGAAACCACAGATGAATAGTGGGAGATGTTACGCACTGATAGACGGGTGGCCTGATAGACACCGAGAGATCGCGGGTGCTGATTGTTGAAGGGCATTCGCGACAAAGACATCAATCAGAAGATGGCTCCAAGATTGGGCAGCATGTGTTGAACACAGCCTGGGATAAACCACTGCTCTTCATATTAATTAGAGAACAATTATACAACCATGTCCTACTAATTATGCTGCACTGCCACCCCCCCACCCCAAAAGTGCATGCATCCGTTGTCTCCCGCGTTTGTGGTTGTGTTCATTGAGATAAATAAATAAACTTGCCGTCTGCCAAGGCGAAACATCCCTAATCAGTGCTGTGAGTTTGTGTCCCAGAGTGGAAGCGAGCATGCTGTTGTTTTCCGCTCGGCCTTTTGGTGGTGCTGGTGTGACATCTATTGCTTTTGCATTCTTGAATTCTGGCCAAAAAAATGTTGGAGTTGCACGTTGCTCTCATTCGATTTGAGTAATGAAATCACAATAAAAAAAGCTCTCCGTCTATGGATATGTGCGTTTGATTTTTTATTTGCGAGGTAGACAAAGTGTGATTAATATTCTCAAGCATATTTCAGAAGATTTTGAGCCAGAATGTGCCAGACTACCTAATCAGTCCAGTTTTATTTTCCTCAATCTGTGGGCATGATGAATTATGAAATAAAGTGAGAACTCCATGCTTTTTGCAGTTTTATGTCTCTATAGTTTACATAATTCACTCAGAACATTTGTAACTTCCCTGACAGGTTAATGCTGTTGGGTTCAAAGTCAAAAAGCTACAGAAATATGCAGAAGGACTTGACAGCGGGGGGAGAAATAGACATAGTGGTGAGAGGAGGAGAGAACAGGAGAACAAGGGAGGAGAGTGAAAATTGGCATCCCCGCTAGAATGCTCAAACTCTGCGCCGTGGAGTGCTCCCACGTCCTCTGCGTCTCCTGACGATCCTGCAGGACGGCATCAATTCCCAAACCACTGGGGAACGTTAGCCATCAAACCACTTCCCAATAAAAACCCTTCCCATCAGAACCCAGCCGCTGCATACTGGTCGCGCGTATTCCAATAGCCATAAAATGTCTGGGATTGAAAAACACAATCCTGACAGCCGTCCCTCAGGGCTGTGTTCTCTGTCCCCTCGTTTGGATGACTGTAGCAGCCCTTCACCCATCGTTACATACTTGATATACTCGAATGAGCACTGGCATACCTGCACTCCTCAATAACATCAAGTCTGTTACATCAAAACGCCTCACACTGGTCGTGGCAGAAGCAAAAGAAACTGGTCATCAGCGTATCAAATACACACTCAACACTTTAACCTCCATTCCCGGCAGGAAAATATATAAACCAACGGCTAAGAGCCTCCGTGACATGTAAACCCGAACCATCCCCTCCTCCCCCCACATCCGGCTTAACAACAGCCCGATGCATCTCGTCCTGATGTTCTGATCAACCTGCTTCCTCACCGTATTCAGGATTTCCACCAATTAAAAAACATCCAGCGTCTGACAGATAAGAACCTTAGAGCCATCTTAAAAAACACTCATCACTTCTAAAACGACACATTACTTGCATCTGTTTGGAGAGACACTTGAAGGTAGAAAACCGTCGCTTCGGCAGCCGTTGTTTCAGTTCTGAGCTAATTACATGTTTCTATTCTTTGGCTTGTAGATCCAATACTCTTTAAAGGGTTTTAGATGTCACAAACCAGTTTCACATTGACCCCTGTACTAACATCCGTGTGGTGTCAGATGTGATTGACCTTTGTCCCTGAAAAATTCTGATGTACTCAAAATCAGAGTTTGATCACCGACTTATTTTGGACTAAACTGCATTGAAAAAAAGGGACGGCAGACGATGGAAAGACCCGAGAGAGGCTGCCGGCAGATTGCACTTTGTGTCCTTCAGTCGTCTTTTTGCAGGGACCGAGGATTGATCTCGCACTTAGAATCTGCAATGAGGCTCTGCGCTCTGTGACTGACATGTCACCCGGGCCACACCGCTGATTAGACTCGTGAGTGCCGAAGGATGCTGACAGAAAGGAAGAGACAGAGCTTGATTCAGGGGACAAATTATTTTCTTGATTATCCTGCACTTACATTCATCCATTTCATTGGAGAGTGCAGGTGTTCTTGCATATAGTACAACTTTCTCTGCTATTTTATTTGCTTTTTGTGTCTTTGGACTTGTGAATCCCCGCGTATGCGCCGTATCTGCCCGCCGCCCTTGTTCGTAAGTGGTGTCTTCTCGGACATCTCGGTCCAGACAATGAAGCTGCAGTCCCATTCTCATCACTCTATTCATCCCTGGCCAGCTGTAGCCGCTCCCTGCTCTTATCTGTGTGTGACCAAGGACATTAAATTACAAATATAATCACTTGGCGCCAGTTTCTTTAACGGTGTGCTTCTGCTTTGCATATAGAGTGTGGTTGCTTTATAGACACGTAGTGTGAAGTCACTGATTGGCCTATTTACAATAATGGGCTCTGCTCTACTAGTGGAGTCACACACACTTTTTCACGACAGCGGATGGCAGCGAAAAAAAGAGGAGCGGGGATAGAAGATGGACATGAAGACATTGTTGCAGACAACATCATTTTGCACGAGTGAATGATCGAAAAAGCAATGACAAGATCTGTAAAAATTCACTGCCATCACTGTATTAAATTTCCCTTGAATTATAAGCGCCAATAGTTTGCATTGTATGTTGCATTGCTAACCTCTGTTCACCAGCAGTAACACCTCCTGTTGCTGATTGAAACAGTGTTTTTTTCCCCAGCTCACACAGAACGGACAGCTAGCGAAGCGTAAAGAGATACTTGCTGAATTTGAGTGTGTTGGAATAGAACTTGCTGTTTGTTAAATATGCTGAAATATTTCGCATCAAATAGATGCCTGGTTGCCGTTATGGAGCTCCACACCTGTCCGTGGTTAAAGAGGATCATTCAAAATCTCAATTTGATGCTCACTGTGGGGCAAAGTCAATGCGTCAACGGTGGCATGATTTCATTCACTCACCGATGCAAACTGCCATCGCGTAGACAGCTTCCTCTTTAGCTGAAATCTATTCCGCACACGTTAGACCATTTGACTGAATAAATAGTCTCCGTCTCTCTCTCTCTCCCTAACTCCCAGTCATTTTACAAAAAGTGAAGAGATGAAAACCTGTGTATATTAAAATCATGTGCCTCCCATGGGTGCCTGAAGGGGAAGAGGTAGGGGAGTTTAAATAGAAGAATAGTATTTTTTTTATCATTGTTATTATGAGGAGGCCATCACAGACCTCCCCTGCCAATTTCCTATTCAGAAATGAATTATTTTGCTTATTCAGAGACTTGCAAACCGGCAAAGGCAAAACCGTATCACTGCCTACAGATCTACCAGGTCCCAAAGCGCTCTCTGAGCAGGTGGATGGTGTATTTGCGATCTTTATTGTGTATTACTATTGTGTATGTATTCATTGCCGGTTACCCTTCCCTCCAACAGGGACTGCATGTTTTTAAGTCCGTTCCCGAGGCATCTCTGTGTTCTGCTGCACTGAACAAACGCCATATGCCCAGAGGTAGGCTCAACTGTTCAATTCTTCAATGACTGGCTGATAAATGGTCCACCACCCGGGCTCTGGCTCCAACAGAAATTTCCCTTTCCAACTGGACTGGCTGCCAAATGACAACCATCTCCCTCTCAAAGCCCCCCCCCCCGTCTATCCACAGCATCCTTCGCAGCCCCTCCTTTCACCTCCTATAATTACTGTACTCTATAAGTCTGGTTTTAAGACCAGTCACTCTAAATCAGCCTCGGCTTGCCGTGTGTTACTGCGTCTATTGTAACCTTCTTCTGAGCTCTGGCGGAGCTGGTGGAGCAAAGGGCACCGCTGTCCTGGCATTTCCCACAATGGACTTTGTGGTTGAAGGACAGGGAAATAATAAGCAGATCTCCGTGTGTAATGAAAGAGCTCATTGTGTGTCGTTGGGGAAGTAAGACCACAGACAGCCGAGGGTTGGAGTTGACGGACAACAGGCACTGCTTTTTTCACACTCCTTAACATATAATGGGAGCATTTTTTCTCCCCACATCTCTCCCCGGTGGCCGTGATTTGCTCATTACGTTGACGGAGGGGGATGGAGGAAGGTAGAGGGGGAGCGGAAGAGAGACAAATATTGTGAAATTCGATGCCCCGGAATTCCCGATCACGGCATCTGAAAAACTATACTGATGTAACCGTGTTATCGAGGCGTTTCAACAACCCGCCCAGAAATCTTCCTCTGAACGATGCGGAATGTTGGAAATCTGGAGGTGTTTGCAAGCTAATATCCCTTAGCCGACATACCCCCCTGTGTAAACCAGCTCCAGACAGTTTGGGGGAATGAGGACTAATACGTGGTTAAACACAAGACAAATCCAGTGAGTGGATGTTTATGTGACTTGGGGTCCCTAGGCATCAAAGAGACCGCTCCTCAATCAGGGAAATCTACGTTTAATTAAGACAGAATTAAAGACACTGGTCTTGATTCCCCACTCAACTTTTGTGCTCCTGAATCTGGCTTTACGGTTTTAATTCTGTTTGGTTTATCCTGGAGAGTGGATCAACACCCATCTGGATTGCTGAGATACAGATCTCCCTCCATTCAGAGGGCCGCCGTGTAAACTCCAGCAGAAACCCACTACGTCTCCTTTGCAATCTCTGGAAGTCATTGACCTCTATGCCGCCTACTTTACTATGCTAACAGTTAGGGTGTGTAGCTGCAGCTGTCCTCCATATCGTCTAACTCACCAGAACAGAAAAGATTAATGGAATCGGTCCAATGCCAAAATAGTTCCGCAGCGCCTCTGGAACAGTTATCATGCAAGAC